GGGCTGCCTGTGTTCTCTCCTGGGGTGGGAGGGCAGTGGCGGGGTGAAGCCTATCCTCGAGGTCCCCAGACTTAGCATTCTCTTCCCCTGAGTCCACCTTTTGCAGCAATCCCCAGCCCCATTTAAGTGGTTAGAACTTTCTAATCCCCCCAACCTCTCTCATCCGTCATTTGCATGTTGCCTGTCCTTTACGACCACTAACTCTGACTATAGGGATGTTGGCCTATCGCTTGAGCATAACAGCATATCCCCAGCGCCTGTCTTCTCTGAAACGCCCTTCATCGTGAGGAATGGCAACCAAGATGTTGCTCTTTTCTGAAGTTTATGGGATTTTTTTTTTTTTTTTTTTTTTGGTCCTCGAATGCCTTCAGGGCACTTTTGGCCAGCGGGAGAGGTGTGAGGTTCGAACTCCAGCAACCTGAGGCTGACAGCTTTGTGGAAGCAGCCACTTTAAAGGACTGAGCTAGGGCCAGGCCCCCAGTTTATGGGATTAAAACAGCAAAAGAGTCTCGGAACCTCCAACAGGGAAATATTATAATTTCAGAGTACTAGTTGTGACATTTTTTCAATTTGTTGGCTTCTGAATTTCTATTACATGAATAATGCATGCCACACACACTGGGATCCAGCTCCATCTTTTTAGCTTTTTTAATTTTTTCCTTGTGACAGGAACTCACTATATAGTCTGGATTGACCTCAAATTCACAGTGATTGTCCTGCTTCAGCCTCTTCCTGTACTGGGATTACAGATGTGCGCCACCACACCTGGCAGTCTATATATTTTTATTTATTTGCGGTACTGGGGATTGAACTCAGGACCTTGTGCTTGCCAGGCAGGCGCTTATGCCGCTGAGCTGTATCCCCAAACCCATGTCTGTCTTTGTAGACTGCAGTCACTTCATGTGTGCTGCTTTTCTGCATCATGCGATAACCAGCACCGCTCAAGCAGGCCCCTCACTCCTGTGTCCCACCCAAGCCTAGCACTGTCCTGATCCATATTAAATACGCAACTAGTCAAAATGCAGAACAGCCAATGCGCTTCAAGGAACGCTTTGTTGGAGGACTGATTTTTGTTGATGCAGGGTTTTGCTATGCAGTTCAGACTCATAGTGATCCTCCTGTCTCAGCCTCCCCAGTGCTGGGATTATAGGCATGCACCACCATGCCCAGTCTCAGTGGCCAGCACGACACACCCAGTGTCCCAGGGCCTACACGCCATGCAGTACCAGGGATGGAACCTGGGTCCTTGTGCTTGCCAGGCAGGTGCTTAGACCGCCGAGCTATCTCCCCAGTCCCAAGGTAAGCTGTATTGGGTTTGATGACAGCAGCATGCTGTTTAGAGCAGCACAGTGGCTTAGGAGGTCTCTGCCACTCTGCCACTTGGCTTGGTGGCCTTGGAAGGTGTCTGCTGAGTGCCTAGAAGGGCCCATGGCCAAGGCTGTGGGCATTATGCACTGGAGGCCAAGGAGTTAAGGCCTCGCTTTCCACCTGCCTACTTGGACCCTAAGGAAAGAGGCAAAGGGTAAGTGAAGGTCAGTGAAGGTCAGAGGTCTCGCTCCACCCTGGCCCTGCTCACCAGCTCACGATGGTACAGGGGAAATAGGCATCTGCTGTCCCCTGGCTCCTGGATGCTGGCCCAAGACCCTAGCGTGTCTCTGGACCTCTGGGTTGGCCAGCCGGCCGGCCTGCCCCCCCCCCTCTCTCTCTCTTCCCTCCCTCCTTCTCTCTCTCCCTCCCTCCCTCCCCATGTCTCCCTATGTACTTCAATCTGACCTTGAACTCACTGTACAGGTCAGACTGATGATCCTCCTGCCTCAGCCTCTCAGGTGCTGGAATTATAGTGGATTGGCCCATTTGAAACCCCTTGGGGTATAATATGTGATACAGCTCTGTTCCCTGAGGCCTTGTTGTAGCTTTGCTGGGTTGGAATAGGGACAATGACAAGAGGGAAGTTATACAGCCGTGCCCACCCTATGTATTTTCCAGGGGCAGAACTGTAACTGGCATCGTTTCTTCTACCCTGGCTCAGCCAGGCTGCCAAAGGGCCAGAGGAGGCTTAGAGAAATCTGTCCTAACCTCCAGCTAATGAGGCCAGAGGAAGGGGCTGCTCCCCAGGGGACGTGCTGGAGCGGGACATTGGCATAGATGGGCTGCTTCCATTCACACTGCATCGCGGAGGCAATTCCAGCACTGCCCATGGAGGACGGAAACGGTGCTGGTTTATGGTTATATCCAAGAAAAATATGCGCCCTGATAGATGTAGGTGTCTAATCCACCCATCGGCTAGGGCTTAGAAAAATATTTACCTTTTAACATCTGTGCAGTATTTTCCCTGCGCAAACACACATCTGCTTGATGGAATGAATGTAGAGTTCAGATGGCTTGAAAGCAAGTTTTCTTAGTAACCATATAGCTCTGTCTTCACACAGGCAGCCCTGGATTTGTGGTTGGGAGGTTTTTCTCAGATCAACTCATTATTTGAAACAAATAGCTGTAGAGTTTATAAAAGGAAAAGCTCTAGGCAATCCTGGTAATTGGATCTTTAATAACCTCTCACCTCTTAGTAAGTCACTCAGTGCAACAGTTTTTACATTTTCAGCTTGATTCCACAGCCAGTGAGTCTCAGGGTAGAGGTGTGGTGTGTATGCATATGAGGGAGAGAGGGAGAGAGAGAGGGAGCGGGAGAGGGAGAGGGAGAGACAGAGACAGGGAGAGGGAGGGAGGGAGGGAGGGAGACAGGGATGGACAGGGACAGGGAGAGGGAGAGACAAAGACAGACACAGAGACAGAAACAGAGAGAGAGATGGAGACAGAGACAGAGATGGGGAGAGAGAAACAGAGTCAGAGAGACAGAGAGACAGAGACAGACAGAGACAGAGAGAGAGAGAGACAGAGAGAGACAGAGAGACAGAGAAAAAGCTTTCATAGGGCATTCCTTCATAGCAAGATTGAGGTTGCAAAATGGTGCTTCTAGCTGGGTGTGATGCACACATCTGTAATCCCAGTCCTACTTGGGAGGCTGAGGCAGGAGGAACACTACAGGGAGGCTAGCCTGGGCAACACAAAATCCTGCCTAAAAATAATAAATAAATAAAGGAGTCAGGGGAAAGAAAGAAAACCATGGCCCTTCTGGATCCAGACCCACTTGCTAGGTGGTGCTCCGCGTGGGACCACTCCGCACACCAGCCTCTAGCAGATTCTGACTCCACCACAGGCCAAAACCCTAACGAAAGCACCGCAGGCTTTCCTTTGTGTTGTGTGGGGTGAGAAGACCCTAACCCCAGCCTTGCCTTTCCTCTTGGTACCTTTCTTTCCTCCAGGCAGGCCCTTAAAGAGCAACCTTATGCCCACACAGCAGACCCCAATGGGGTCTTCTCTCTCACGCTGGAAAGTTCTATTCTTAGCAGGTTCAGCCAGATGCCTGTTCTATCCCTACTAAGTGCCAGGCAGAGTCAAGTGTGAAGAGGAATGAAAACTCTGGCGCTCAAGTGTGTGGAACAGGGCCCAGCCTGGTTCCAAGGGATGCCCTCCCTAGTGCCAGGCAGTCACTGAAGTCCTCTCCAAGAGCTCCGTACCCTGCAACTCCATCCTGGCACTTTTCAATAGAAAGAATATGCTCATTAAAGCAGCAAGGGCACATCTACCTAGAAAGATCTTCCGGGCTGCTCTCCCCTAGGCTGGGAGCAGGGCTGGGCTGCTGGCAGACCTGGGGCACATTCCATCCTGCAAGGAGGGGGCGTCTCCGCTCTACCATCCTGTCCTCTCCCATCCCCTGCTGCTGCCCTTTCTCTTTCTGGTGTGACCTTCGTCCACCTTTCTCTCTGCTTTCTGCTGGCCCAGGAAAGCTGGGGATGGCAGGTCGCCGGAGGACAGTGTGCGTGACGTGCAGGCTTGGGAGGCAAGAGGAGGAAACGAGCACCCACGCCAAAGCAGGCTCCATTCCATTTCCAGGCGGTGCCCTATTAAAACGCGTTACCTCTTCTGCTGCTTGCTGGTCCCGAAAGGCAATCCTGCTCCTAATGAGTTTGGTAAAAAAGCCATTCAGTTCATCTCGGTTCTTATTGGGTAGAATCCGGGCCAGGGGGACCATAATGGATGGAAACGAGACTTGAAAGAGAAAAAAACAAAAGTGTGTTGCAAAGAGGGCGACAATAAACCACAGCTATTAGATTCCCACCGCTAGGAAGCGAGTGTCAGTATGGAGCTGGGGTCCCTGGGGCAGGGGGGCTGGCCTGGCCCCTGAGGATCGCTCCTGGTGCTGGGGTCACAGCCTGTGGTATCCCTGCCCCTCCAGCCATCCCTGCTCTTAGAAGCACTCAGCAACCAGCCCCACCCCCAGCTGGCCCTCAGCAGGCCCCTCTCGGGCTTTAGATGGAATGACAGGTCTGGACATGAGGCCCAGGTCACTATATTTCATCAACAGAGGCTGCACTGCAGGCCGGGACTCACATCTTAGCGAGGGCCAGGAGCTCGCTTGCTGTCTTAACTTTGTGGCCTTCTGCATTTTCTTCCACTGGTTTCTCAGGTCCCTAGAGCAGCCCCCTGCACTGTCCCTAAAAGCTGCCACAGTCTCCTCATGTGCCCCGTGCAGCATGGGGCCTGTCTGTGGGTCCGGTGCACTTAATCCCTCTGAGGGGTGCTGGGAGGAGCATCCTGGGCTGGAGCATGAGGGGAGAAGGGAGAGGCTGCTTCTCCACCACAGTGACCTCTCCTCCGACTAGAGCGTGGAGCCCACAGAGGGGACAGCGGGGGCCACCACTGAGACTGGATCAGAAATGGGAACAAAATTGGCTGAGGAGTGAACAGGACCAACCAGCTCAGCACGCCACCTGGGAACCAAGGCGCTAATCAGTGACGATGATCACATCCTCTGGCACCTCCATAAAAGCGAGAAGGTGCGAGAAGTGGCCAGAGGGCAAAAACTCCCTTGTAAAATCAAAATAAAATCAATGGGCCAGTCTCCTCAGCATCGGGCCACCTAGCCAGTGGCCTCTAGGTCATTACACAGTAGCTGCCTTCCAGTGGAGGCAATTTCTGGGGGGAGGTAGGATGCCCCAGAAAATGAAAGGCTTTGAGTTCCGGTCTTGGCTCTGCTTTTCCAAGCCTGTTTTCTCATCTAGAAAGTGGACTTAGCTCAGCAGTGTAGGTAATATGTGATCTGTCTCTTGGAGTTTCTTTTACTTTTTATTTATTTATTTATTTTTTGGTGGAACCGGGGATTGAATGCAGGTCCTTTCGCTTGCCAAGCAAGTGCTTATTCCACTGAGCCATCTCCCCAGCCTCTGAACCAGGGATTGATCTCAGGCCCTCGAGCTTGCCAGGGAAGTGCTTACTCCACTGAGCCATCTCCCCGGCCACTACTCATCTGGAAAATGGAGACAAGAACCTTTTGTTGTTGGTTTGAGTCAGGTTCTCACTATGTAGCCCAGGCTGGCCTTGAACTCACAGCGATCCTCCTGCCTCACCCTCCTGAGTGCTGGGATTACGGGGGTGGCCAACACACCTGGCTCAGAACACTTTTCATATGGGCTGACACTAGGGTGAGCTGAAGCGACCCATGCACAGCATTTAGCTTGGATTGTTGGCTCACTGTCCTCGCGCTGGCAGTGGTGAAGCAGAAATTCCTAGCTTCAGAGATAAGAGGCCCCAGGGCACGGGAAGGGCACCCTGGTGGCAACTCCCAGCGCCTGTGCCCTGAGGAGTGGAATTCGGAAAGTGGGGTTTAGGCTTCTGGGCTGCCAGAGGTGGGCTGGACTTACAGATTAGGACCAGGAGGGGCCTGGGGATGCGGGAAGTGAAGAAGCGCCTGCAGTGCTGCACGAAGGGGTCCTCAGGGTCCTTCTGCGAGTCCACTTGGGTGCCGAAGGCCACACTTGCCACCACATCTGTGGCGAATGCTTGGTAGTACCTAGGGAGAGGGGGACACTTCAGTTTTGAAGGACAGTGGCCTTGAGCACCCACAGTGCACCCCTCCTGACAAAGCCAGGCACTGCTCTCCTGGCCCCCAGAGGAGCCTCCTGCAGCTCCGGGCGGGACCCTAGAGCAGCTGTGGGCTGAGCGGCAGTGGTAGGATATGGGAAGAGACAGGCTCGGGGAGGCCGAGGCCGGAGGAGCGCCGGGATTTCGAGGCCAGCCTGGGCTTCACAGTGAGCTCTAGAGCAGCCTGAACTAGACTGAGACACGCCCTGAAAGAACAACATAAAATATGGGCAGGGTGGGAAGCCATAGAGCGGAAATCAGTACAGGGCACCACTTAGCCCTCCGGCTGTCACTGGCCTTAAGCCGATGAGCAGAGGAAGCACCATGAAGCCACCTGAGACTGTCCTGCCTATGAGGGAGGGGAAAGAGGAGACACAGACTCTGGGTGTTGCCCCAAAGCCGTGCTTGCGAAGCCCACCTCCGGCTGGAATCTATTGATTTATTGACACCCATCAAGCTGGTATTGATGGATGACCCACCTGATTATCTAGTTCTGTTAACTGAGCTCCTCATGATTGTGCAGTTTTTAAAAGAGTAACCAACAAAATAAACAAGGGCTCTTCACCCCCAAAGAAATACCTGACAAGTTCTGCAGCAGGCCTCGCGATCAAGCAGAGATTACTATGGAAAGGTACACTGTACTTTAGAAACCAGTAACAGGAGAAAGACTGGCAGGCGTGCCGGAATACTTAACCCCTTTGGCTGTAGGGAACCTGTCCTATAAGAAGCTGTTCAAACTACAACTATTATTATTATTATTATTATTATTATTATTATTATTTGTTTTCTTATAGGAGTAGTCAGATAAAGCTCTTTTTAAGAAGGCTGACAACCGGGGTGTTAGCGCCCTTTTATAATTACAAGGTCTATTTTTGTCCCTAATGCAGGCACATATTTAGCTCTCTTCTACCCCAGTTCCGCAGCCACCAACTTATCATTAAGGGACAAATGACATTCGCCAAGGACTTCCATTGAGAGTGCTTCTTACAGCTGACCACACATTTCCTCATGATGATAAAAACAGAACGAGGCTGTTGGGTGTGAGCTCCTCCGACCCTACCGGTTGAAGCTTTCAGAGCTTAAAGAGTTATTTACTTTGCTTTTATAGCCGCCAAGGCCACCTTGTCTTTCGCCGAGGCACGCACCCTGCCATGGCAGAGCACGTGGATGGGAAGTCTCGGTCACCAGTGTGGTGCTAGATCAATGTGGGCGACGATCACGCTGTCATTTTACTAGCCACTGTGCTGAAGGGCAGCTTCCGGCTGATCTGACTTCCCCATCCTATTCGTTCCTAGGCTGCTGTAAGCCATGTCTTGGCACAAACCCACCAAAAATCTCTAAGAGAAAAGCCAGATAATCCGTTGTTTCCGTTTGGTGTCTGCCCTGGCCATGGCTGCTGTCCAGAGGTGCCCATGATGTTCCTAGGTGTGAAAATGTAGGGTGTCCCCCAGGGCGCTGTCCTTTCACCCAGGCGTGTCCTCCCCACTGTGGGGCTGCACATATGAGAGGTCATGCCCACCCACAGACTAACCACGGCCTACCTGGGCTTCCTGGGCAAGGTATACAGCCCTGGGCTTTGGCCACTTCCGTTTCCTATTTTGAGTGAGTCTGCCTTCTTCCTGTTGGTTGAGCTGGCCATGCTTTTATGAGAGCCCAGGGTTCCCACGAGTTGCTGGGCCCAAGGAAACTGTCTAGCAGTTGTGCGCAGTTACAAGAAGCAGACATTCCAAGTTGCAACTCTCATCTCTAAGGTGGGCCTTACCTCTGGATGTCGCAGGCATCCCCCAGTTCTGCACAGCGTCTTAAATGAGCCAGGAGGAGGTCACAGGCTTGGCTGATGAGTGGCATCATCTGAAAATGGATAACAGAGGAGTAATTAGAGCACTATGCAGGTAGGGGGTCTAATGTGTTTATTTTCAATGCTTTCTGAAGAAGAAAAACAAACTTTTTTGAGAGCACCTTTTCCATAGCCAAGATGAAAAAGAAAGTTCTAGAATGGACAGATATTTGTGAAATGCAATAGGTGTAAACATCCAGAGTACTTTGAGGGGGCCAGGGAGATAGCTCAGTGCAACAAGTGCTTGCCTGACAAGTGCAAGGTCCTGAGTTCAATTCCTGGTACCGGAAAAAAAAAAAAAAAAAAAAAAAAAAAAAGATCATAGTACTTTGAACCATCTTTTATTTTGCAGGGGGAGAGCAACAAGGAAATGCTTTCAGACATGACTTTATTTTTTTTTTAATTAATTAATTATTTATTTTGCGGTACCGGGGATTGAACTCAGGACCTTGTGCTTGCCAGGCAAGCGCTTATTCTACTGAGCTATCTCCCTGGCCCAAGGACATGCTTTCAAGGTTTCAAGTAAATATGGTGAAATAATTATGAAAGTGTTTATCGGGTGCTAACACAAAGCTGAGAGTCAGCGCTCAGTTACTCGACGAGGGTTTAGCATGGGGATCACCCAGGTCCATGTTGTGCCAATTATATGTTAGCTCTTCCATGAGAACACAGCATTTTCCTACCCAAGGAAACCTAAGGTCATAGATTTCAGCTTCTTAATTAACCCAGGAATTATTTTTAGAGCACGTCTGATAGATGCTTGTTCCCGTGTGCTTAAGCTGCTTAAGCCTTCGAATACTTAGATAACTCTGGACCTCAAGAGAGTGCCTAGCCCATATATGAAAACTTTTTTTTTTTGATATTAAGATATTTTTATTATGGAAAATTTCAATCATAGAGAATGATATAATGAATATTCATGCAACCATCACCCAGGTCAACCAATTTTGACCTCACTGTTGACTACCTGTCACTCCACTGCAGTAAGTGGCCACTATGTGATTTTTTTTTATTCTCTTCTGAGTGTGGCCAGTCTGGAAATGGGGAGGGGAGCCAGAGTGAGCAATGCGCATTTTAAGGCAGCACCTCGGTTCCGGCGCTGTGCTGTCCCATGCGTTGCTCTGAGTATCTCTGATGGAAAACGTGTTTCAAAATGTTATTTTTAGGTCTAGATTTCACTATTTTGACATCAGAATATTACACTGGGAGGGGAGGTTTTTGTGTGCTCCCTTTTGTAGCTCCAGAACCTCAAACAGTGCCTGGCACATAGTAATTGTTTGTTCAATAAATGAGTGAATTGTGTGCATGACACAATAGCTACTTTTTGCTCTGAAAACCTTGAGGCTTTGGGGAGAATGCCATTGGATGCTACTCTTCTTACCAGAATGTATGTTATTGTACTGAAGTAAAATCTGGCTCCCTCTGCTATTATTTGGAGCGTCAGTGTCCCCCAAGGTACACGTGGTAAAGACTGGTTCCACAGGGCCACTAGAGGGAGAAGCTGTTGATGGGTGTGGCCCAGCAGTAGGTCTTTAAGTCATTAGGGATGTCTTAAAGGGTTGAGGGGCCAGTCTCTTCCTCATCCTTTCAATTTAGCTACAAAAGAAGTAGATTCATTTTGCCAAATGCCACTACCCTGCTGGGCCGCTACAGGCCCCAAGCAATGTGTACAACTAATCAATGAGGAAAACTTCTAAAACTGTGAGCCACAGTAACCTTTTTTCTTTATAAACTGATTATTGCAGGTATTGTGTGTTATGGCGACAGAAAGCTAACACATCCTCCAACAACTTCTCACTCATTTCATTTCTGTCCACTTCCCTGTGACAGGGCCCCAACACCTAGACAGGAACATCCAACTTTCCAAGACAGTTGTTCTCCATCCCTTCCACAACATCTCCGACCACATGATGTCGCTCCTCAAAGGCAGCCACATCAGTGGAACGCAGCCCGATTTCACATGCAGGACAGTAAGAGGTAAATGAATCACGTCCTGTAAGTAGCACCCTGCAGCTGTTGCAAGGCCAGGTTTACGCTGATATTTTCAGAAGACACATAACACAGGCGAAACGAGGCTCAGGTCAGGTCAGTCAAAGAAAACAACAAGGTCTTTTTCCATGAACCACAACCGTGCACAATTGATTCTTACCCTTTGGGGTCCATTTACTAGAAAGGCATTACATTTACTTCTGTAAAAATGACCGCCAGGCACGAGTTCTGAGAACAATCGTCCGTGACCTGTCCTAGAACCTGTGGTGGCTGGAGAAGCTGGGTGGAGGGCCATAGGCTGCGCAGCTGCGGGTGGGATGTGGGGATGTGTGGCTTCATTGGACTCCCTCCCTTCCACCTCTGCAAGCCAGCCCTGAGTGCTCTGTGGTGTTAGGAGAGAGTTGTGTCCCCCGGGCCCCACTAGTGGTTCTGTCAGGGGACATGTGGAGAACAAGGCATTGGCTGGTTCCTCCTTGTCCATCTTTAATGTGGTAAGTGTGTCTTCCAAGTCTCCTTTCAGATTGTGGCTGAATGTACAGGGTTGAGTACAGACGGCTACGTCAGATACCTGCAGGATTTTCATCCTCCCTCCACCAACTGTGCGTGGACCTAAATTCTCAGCCAGATGCCAGTAATTGACTGGGGAAGGCCTTGTCAGGGGATTGGCCGAGACGGAAATGCAGGGTGCCTCAACTCCCTGTCCTGAAACGCACTCGAGAAAGAAATAAGCCAGGCATGGCTGCACACGCTGATAATCCTAGCCCCGTGGGAGGCTGAGTCAGGAGGATCACAAGTTTGAACCCAGACTGGGAAACTCAATGCCTTAGGGAGACCCTCTCTCAAAATGACAAAAGATAGAGCTGGGATGTAGTTCAGGGTAGAGGCCTGGGGTTCAGTCTTCACTAGCAGAAAGGAAGGAAGGGAGGGAGGAAGGAAGGAAGAAAGGGAGGGAGGGAGGGAGGGAGGAAGGGAGAAAAAAAGGGAAGGAGGGAGGGAGAAAAGAAAGCAGGAAGAAAGAGGGAAAGAAAAGAAAAGGATTAAAAAAAGAAAGAAGGAAGAAAAAAGGAAGGTGCATTAGTTCTGACTTATTCTTAGTACCTGGGTTGACTTTTCACTACTACTGCTTTTCTAAATCCTCACAAGCCATTGATTTGATAATGTACCAGTAAAGAAAGATGTGTGTGTGTGTGTGTGTGTGTGTGTGTGTGTGTGTGTGAATAGGTCCCTTTCAATGGTCTCTGGGTCCTGATTTCCCCAAAGTCTCAGATTTCCTCCGAGGTGAGAGAACTCAGTCCTATCAAAGTCACACTTCTGTGGTTGACATCATTAGCGATATTACCCCAATTATTTAAATACCCTTAATGGTGTAAGTGAACTCTATTTTAATAAAACCACAGATAGCAAAATATCTTTCATCAGAATAGTAAGAGGTTAAAAGAGTAAAACAACAAAGATACTGAAAGGAAGCCGGGCATTGCGGTGCACACATGTAATCCCAGCACTCCGGAGGCTGAGGCAGGAGGATCTCTGTGAATCTGAGGTCAGCCTGGGTTGCACAGTGGGTTTAAAGCCAGTCCTAGGTAAATCTTTTAAAAAAAGAAAATACTGAAAGAAGGTCTCATAGATATCAAACTTAAAGTTTTTTAAGGTGACAAAAGAGATGCAGTGTGAAATTTGATTTCCACAGGACTCCTCAGAAACAAATCCTGAGTGTTAAGAAGTCAAGCAACGGCCTGGCCAGTGAGGGAACAGGATCAGCTGCCAACCGCTGGCGTCTCCGAGTGCTTCTGACCAGCAAGCTTTGTTACTGCCTGATGCGATCGCAATTTTCTCCTCCCTCTGCCTGTTGTCTGTCGAACTGAATGGATAATGACATTTTTATTTGGGTTAATGTGATATGAGATGAGGCATGTAATATGAAAAATGTTTCAAGAAGCAATGTGGAGAACATATTGTAAGACAGCAGCGCATGATCCGTGTGTTGGCCAGTAGCCATTGTTTCTGATTTTCTTCCCTGCCTTACGCACAGCGGTTCTGGAATATTTACTCTCACACGAGTTGCATACAAACAAAAGCTCCCTTTGATGGGTTCTCCTAATCTTTGCACAAACCCGGCCATTCTTCTCTAGGTTTTTGTACAAATTTGCACACACTGAGAACTACACAGTGCTGCTGCTTTCCAACCTTAACTGTAAGACTCTAATTTGGTTGTTACCTTTCATCTTCTTTGTAGGATGATGAGTGAAGTTTTTCTTTTTTTCCTTTGAGTGGGACAGGGTTTAAACCCAGGGCCTTCCAATTAAGCTACAGCCTCATCAGGGTCTTGCTAAATTGGGAAGTTGCCCCGGCTGGGTTTGAACTCGCATCTTCCTGCCTCTGCCTCCCAGGGTGCTGGGATTAGCGGCCTGTGCCATCACACGAGTCATGATGAGCACCTTTTTATTTTATTCCAAACTTTTCATAACGTATATTTATTGTGCTTAATGCCCTATAATATAGAAAGGTTAATAATCACTTAAAATGATTTCTGGCGGGTTTGTATAGACCATACATTTGTGTCCCTCACTAAATTCATACGTTGTTGTTCTAGCCTCCATATAGCTGTGTTTAGAAACAGGGCCTCTTAGGAAGTCTTTAAAGCTAAACAAAGCCTTAAGGGTCGGGCCTGAGACGAAAGGATTAGTGTCTTTATAAAAGGCACCAACGTGTTCTGTCTTTCCTTTTTCTCCTTTGTCCCCTTTCTCTTGTTCTCTCTCCTTCCCTCTCCTTCCCGTCCCACCCACAAGAATAGGTCCCATGAGCTCACAGCAAAATGGCAGCCACCAATAAAAGAGGAGACAGCCTCCAACCTGAGGCCCTAGAACCATCAGAAAATGTCTGCTGGTTAAGCCTCCCAACCTCTGGGATTGTGCCGCTGCTGTCTGAGTTGACCAAGACTGGGGTTACTGTCCAGCAACCAAGTTTGGGGAGACTGCACTTCACTTCACTCCCCTCCCTCCTTGCTGTCTCTGTGGAAGGAAGACCA